TTGAACCCACATGACATCAGCATGGGCTGACCATATATGGGTTAGACCTGGGTGTGGATATGTGGGCCCCAGTCCTTTTTTAAGTGGGCTATCTGGGAATGGGATGGGCCCAACATGGGAAGCCCATGTGGGCTGACCACATTGAACCCACATGACATCAGCATGGGCTGACCATATATGGGTTAGACCTGGGTGTGGATATGTAGACCCCAGTCCTTTTTTAAGTGGGCTATCTGGGAATGGGATAGTACTGGGCAACACTATATGGGGCCCATGTGGTTTTAGTATCATGGGCCCAACATGGGAAGCCCATGTGGGCAGACCACATTGAACCCACATGACATCAGCATGGGCTGACCATATATGGGTTAGACCTGGGTGTGGATATGTAGGCCCCAGTCCTTTTTTAAGTGGGCTATCTGGGAATGGGATAGAAACGGGCAACACTATATGGGGCCCATGTGGTTTCAGTATCATGGGCCCAACATGGGAAGCCCATGTGGGCAGACCACATTGAACCCACATGACATCAGCATGGGCTGACCATATATGGGTTAGACCTGGGTGTGGATATGTAGGCCCCAGTCCTTTTTTAAGTGGGCTATCTGGGAATGGGATAGAACTGGGCAAAACTATGTGGGGCCCATGTGGTTTCAGTATCATGGGCCCAACATGGGAAGCCCATGTGGGCAGACCACATTGAACCCACATGACATCAGCATGGGCTGACCATATATGGGTTAGACCTGGGTGTGGATATGTAGGCCCCAGTCCTTTTTTAAGTGGGCTATCTGGGAATGGGATAGAAACGGGCAACAGTATGTGGGGCCCATGTGGTTCTAGTATCATGGGCCCAACATGGGAAGCCCATGTGGGCTGACCACATTGAACCCACATGACATCAGCATGGGCTGACCATATATGGGTTAGACCTGGGTGTGGATATGTGGGCCCCAGTCCTTTTTTAAGTGGGCTATCTGGGAATGGGAACAGTATGTGGGGCCCATGTGGTTCTAGTATCATGGGCCCAACATGGGGAGACCATGTGGGCTGACCACACTGAACCCACATGACATGAGCATGGGCTGACCATATATGGGTTAGACCTGGGTGTGGATATGGAGGCCCCAGTCCTTTTTTAAGTGGGCTAAATGAGACAAAATTGTAGAACAATGTACAGGGGTTGGACAATGAAACTGAAACACCTCTCATTTTAGTGTGGGAGGTTTCATGCCTGAATTGGACTAGCCTGGTGGCCAATCTTCATGAATTGCACATTGCAACAGTAAGAGCAGAGTGTGAAGGTCCAATTAGCAGGGTAAGAGCACAGTTTTGGTCAAAATATTGCAATGCACATAACATTATTTGGGACATACTGGAGTTCAAAAGAGGGCAAATTGTTCACCAAGACAGCAAGTCTTTGTGATGTATCAAGAGCCACAGTATCCAGGATAATGTCAGCATACCACCAAGAATGACGAACCACATCTAACAGGATTAACTGTGGATGCAAGACGAAGCTGTCTTAAAGAGATGTTTGGGTGCTAACCCGGATTGTATCCCAAAAACATAAATCCACGGTGCCCAAATCACGGTAGAATTAAATGTGCACCTCAACTCTCCTGTTTCCACCAAAACTGTCCGTCGGGAGCTCCACATGGTCAATATACACAGCCGGGCTGCTATAGCCAAACCTTTGGTCACTCGTATCAATGCCAAACGTCGGTTTCAATGGTGCAAGGAGCGAAAATCTTGTGCTGTGGACAATGTGAAACATGTATTGTTCTCTGATGAGTCTACCTTTACTGTTTTCCCCACATCCGGGAGAGTTACGGTGTGGAGAAGCCCCAAAGATGCATTCCACCCAGACTGTTGCATGCCAGAGTGAAGCATGGGGGTGGATCAGTGATGGTGTGGGCTGCCATATGATGGCATTCCCTTGGCCCCATACTTGTCCAAGACGAATTGACGCTGTATTGGCCTCAAAAGGAGGCCCTACACCACGCTAATAAGTTATTGTGGTCTAAAACCAGGTGTTTCAGTTTCATTGTCCAACCCCTGTAGTTAACCTGTCACTTTCAAAATTTTGACTGTATGTCAAAGCAAAAGCTGCAAGAGCAAGATTCTCAAAACTTGGAAAGAATTACCCGAGATGTCAGCTTTATAGTCTTTGCCAAGGCAATTGTTACTCAGCTGGCCTCTAATGGAGTTGATGTAAGGTAAATTGTAGAATTTAATTTTTTCCTTGTAGGAAACCTCGACGATAGTAAAGGTTGGTGACCTTGACCATTGTCGAGGTCTCCAGGACGAAGGTGACCTCGTCTTGGAGATCACCCAAGGATATATTTTGCTGATAGAACAGAACATCCATGTCTTCCTAATGTTTGAACCTAAAACATGTTCACTGTGTGATATCTATGCCTGGCTCATTTACAAACACTAGGCTTCCAGAGGACCAGGATATTAAAACATTAAAATAATTCTACAATGCTTTATTTTTTTAAACCAGTTCAGTATTGCTCTAGCCACACTTTGAACCCTTAACATTTTTCATGTTATTATTTTATGCTAGAACAGTCCAGTCCAGTCTCCAAGCCAGTACGCATGAGTGGGCCCCCCTTGGGTTTGTAGTAGGCCATATGGGTAATGAGTGGTCATGGGTTTTATCTGGGCAAACCTCATGGGACACATATGGTTAACTAAAATGGGACCCCTATGGGCTGGCCCATTTGGGCTAAATGTATGGGCCCTATTCAGCAACAATGTGGGCTAACTGGAAATGGGACAGAAATGGGCAAAACTATTTGGGGCCCATGTGGTTTCAGTATCATGGGCCCCACATGAGAAGCCCAATGTGGGCTGTCCACATTAAACTAACATGGCATGAGCATGGGCTAACCATACATGGGTTGGACCTGGGCAGGAAAATGTAGCCCCTAGTACTTTTTTTCATGGTCTAAATGGGACAAAATTGTAGAACATTTTAATCGACAATGTGGTTACCCTGTCACTTTCAAACTTTTCACTGTATGTCAAAGCAAAAGCCAGTTCAGTATTGCTCTTGCTACACTTTGAACCCCTAACTTTTTTTTCATTTTATTATTTTACGCCAGTCCAATCTGAATGTCTTAAAACATTTTTTTGAAATAATCTGTTTGAAATATATACGTAAACTCATATTCTGGTGCTTACTCAAAATTAAGCACAGAGTGGTCGAGCTTTAGTCCTTGTTTATTTTAATAATAATAATAACTTTTTATTTTATTTTTATTATTATTTTTTATCAATTGGATGTTTAGACATCCATAGAGTTTACTGCAGCCTGTTCGCAGCAAGATTTAAATTTTTATTTGGACAAATAGTTCAGATCAGACCATTGTGAAAAATATCACAAAATGTTTAGAAAATAAACAAAACTCATTAGCAAGTGAGAGACAAGAGTAAAATTTTGAGCATCTGTTTTTTCATATATTTGCAAACATTTTCCAAGTCATCAGTAAAAAAAAAAAAAAAAAAAAAAAAAAACGTAACATTTCTGTTAATGATTCATTTGGTTCCAATTACCTTTTTGTTCATTGTTTGCTCTGAGGCACTGTTGCCAATAAAGGTTGGTGAATTGAAGTACCGGTAGGCACTTTACACATCCACTGAAGAAAATAGTTCCAAAACATATTTGAATAAGGAGGACAACGAAATGTATTTATTTACATTGAGAACTTTTGCTACATCGGTTTTACATTTGTTAAACCGATGTAGCACTCTCAAAAATTAATCTTGTATTTCTTGGAAAACGTAAAATGACGTGCGGATGGATATGCGGTTTCAAAATCAAGCCTGTTCTCTTCATCAGTCCGTTGGCGCGGAGTCTGCCGGCTGATCTAGAAAGAATCTGTAAGTACGTTTCTTCTGTTTTACCTAGTACCAAATTTTAGGGAGAGATTTTAAATCGCTTGTTAAAAAAATTGTTGCTCGTAACAAATCGGACGACAGTAACCCAAAAGAGACTTAATTGTTATTGTTATTTTTGCTTTTCTTTAGGGTGATACTTTTTCTGATATTGCTAACACACACAGCTACACACAATAAGCAGATTTTAGTGCAGACCGATTTCAAACGCAGCGTTGTGGGCCAAACCATTTTCAAATACCGCCGCCATTCTATTTGTTGAGCTGCCATTGGTTCATTTGAGCGCCAACGAGGCAGAATGAAATCGGTTCACTGAAGAATCTATGTTGCTAGCAGAGGTTGTTACAAAGTGTCTGGACACAATAAAACCATTTGTATGATTTAAAAAGAGTAACTATTGTGCTTTCATTCTATGTACTTGGGCTTTTAATAATCTTTCTCACAGTCACATCAGCATGCATGGGTGGGTCTCATGTATGGATTCAGGCTGGTTTGGCTGGGACCCATGCAAGATTATTATTGTCGTTTTTTTCAATAAAACTGCATTGAATCGTTTAGCTTTGGGCTATATAGGTAATGATAAGAGGGCATGGGTTTTATCTGGGCCAACTGCGTGAGGCTCATAAGGTTAACCGAAATGGGACTCATATTGTTGGCTCAATTGGGTTAAATGTATGGGCCCAATTCAGCATTAACGTGGGCTAACTGGGCATGGGACAGAAATGGGAACACTATATGGGGCCCATGTGGTTTCAGTATATTGGGCCTAAAAGGTTTTTTGTAAATAGGATGAAGGCATTGTAGTTCATATTTTTAAATTTTTTTTTAATTGTTGTGTGACACTTTAAAGCGTTTTGTTATGTCATAGTTTATTTCAATCTGCCGCTATTGTGTTGGTCTAGAGTAGTCATCAGTGTCAGGGTTCCTGTGTGAGAGTGTGTGTATGTGAGTGCGAGTGTCGCATCTTATTTCAGCGAGGATCTTTGTTGGTTGTAGTCATCAGTGTCAGGGTTTGTGTTGTGTGTTGTGGAGAGTGGATCTTGTGGAGCTTGTGCAGAATCTTCAGTCTATGCTAGATTGACTGAAGATTCTACTGGTGTATGCTAGATGGTTGCATACACCAGTAGTCTCTCTGGCCTCTCCTGTTGTGAACAGTTTTCTGAGAACGTTTCTGTGTCTACTAGAAGTCACCTGGTCTCTGTGTTTGTTCGATCCTAGGGGTTTTGTCGCCTCATTCGAGAACTCACCAGTGAATACCTGCGTGCTCGCTCCGCCGATTCCACTGCCTCCACTCCACCCTTCAAGCTTCCAGCTCTCTTCCATTCCCACCTCGCATTTACCTTCGGAACCGCTGCACACCCTCTCTCAGGAACCTGGCATCTCACACCCACGCCTCGAAAGACCCACACCGAAGTAAGCCTGTTCCTGTTTCCCCTCCGATCACTCATTCTAAGCCCGTCATAACTAAGTTCTCGTTTCAGGCCAACCTGGTCGAGTGGTCCTCACCCTTCCGCTGATGTCCGGGAAATAGATTTTATTTTGTCCTGTTGTAAATAAATCACTCACTCATCCCTATCCAACGTGTGGTTACTGCATGTGGGTCCGTAAATTGAAACCCATCATGTCAATCAGTGGCCAAGCCTGAAACAAATATTGAAAGATGAAGAAATTCTTTTTGATATTTTTGCAATATTTAGCTAGCAGTTATGTGAAATGTACTTATATTTAATTGTAGCTCTAATTTTTTTATATGTACAATGTTTTAGGCTTTATTAGTTACATTTATAGTGATTTTCTAAACTTCTCTTAAGAGTAATACTACTGTCTTAGTCCTGTCACGTTAACAAAGAAATTAGGATAATTGCAAAACTGTTCAGTGTTTACATTATAAGGCTTCAGTAGTTAATCTATACAAAGGCTGTTTTGCCTTAATTTTTTTATTTTTTTGAAAAGTCTAAATGTTATATTGCACTAATAAAATATATATTTTTGCAGGCTTCAAGAGGATCAGCGTGTGAAGATCACTTTATAATGATTTGAAAAAGGTAGATTAATATGTTAGTAAAATTAAGCACATAAGAGTGATATAATAACAAACTGATGAACAAAAACAAAATGTTGTCCTGTTATTGTCATTGTACTTAAGGTTGCCATGGCTGCAGAAATTGGAGGAGCATCCTTAGATGACACAATACAACCAGCTGTGCGATTCCTCATGTCCCATGAACTGGAAGTCCAGTTCAACCTTTTTGGCCAACATTGGAAACAAGCTCTTGGACCTGCGTCTCTTTGATGTTTTGTATGGTAAATATCAGTTTTTATTGTCAGAGTAACTTTTTTTCACTTTTCTTTCTTAAACATATGTTAATTTATTTTGGTTGTTTTATGCTTTTGTTTGTTATTTTTAGTAATGTTTTTAGGTTAAAAATTGAGTCTTCAATTTTTGGTTTTATTTGAACAGTATTCTTTCACTGTTGTTAAGAACTTAAAAATTTGAAGGTAATATTGTTTGCATTTCAAACAATATTAAAATAACCACAAAACCACGATAGAACCTAGTAGTTGATTTATATAGATGGATATATTTTAAATTTACAGTAAGAATAGTTTCTGTACATAATAATGATGACTCAAGAGTCCTTTGATTATGGCATATCTCTGCAAGCATTTTTGCCCCATGAAGGGGGAGATGCAAATCTCATGAATGTTACATTGTGCTAAAATGAAACACTAATACAATTTCTACCTTTGCTTGTTATTTCAGGGGACTTAAAAGAAATTATCCATCTACAGAATCACACAAGCATACAGCAAAGACTCTCGAAGTGGTTTACTGGAGCCCGAGTGGAAGTGGAAATAGACTAGAGAGACTGCCAGTTCAAACTCAGGTTGGGGAGGTCTTTCAAGATGGACAGTTTCAGTAAAGTATGAGAGATTTCAAATTTAAGCATGCATATGGCATGTAGGTTATTTTTAAAAATGTTTAACAAAAATGTATTGTGAAAGATCTATATAGGTGTGTATATTCACATTGTGTGTATCAATGTGAATATACGTGTATAAAGTTATATAGATAGTATTTAGATGTATACATTTATAGACCTGTAGGAAAATATGTAGGTGTCTTTATTTGTGTGCATCTATAGATATATATTTATAGATCTGTTTATAAGTTTGTTATAGTAAACTAGCTTCTGTTATTTTCAAAGATGTCGTGAATAATTGCAGATTTCTTTTTGTGCCACCATTCCCTGAGTATTAATGAAGTTCTAATAATTGCTGTAGTGAGGTAAAAAATAACTCCTGACAATATTTTAAATTACTAAATAAAAGCCTTGAGCAAAATAAATTTTTCACATCTCTTTTTTTTTTTATTTGAACACGTTTTAAGCTAGACTTTGGATTGTTGATCAAGATTGCATATCTATGAATGTAATTCACATCCAGGTTAGATGAGAATTGTTCCTACAGGATTAAGGCATCTGGGCCCCACTGAAAGCCCAGTTAGCACCCATTGAAATCAACCTGGGCAAACCCATGTGGGGCCACCATGGAAACCGTGGACAAACCCACTTGTTACCCATATTCTAGCCCAGTTCAGACCCAATTGGGACCCACGTAAATATTCCTGACAGCACCCTAGTGGGCCACAGATGGGCCTCATGTGAGTTAACCACATGGGCCCCACTGAAAGCCCAGTTAGCACCCATAAAAATTTACTTGGGCAAACCCATGTGGGGCCACCATGGAAACCGTGGACAAACCCACTTGTTACCCATATTCTAGCCCAGTTCAGACCCAATTGGGACCCACGTAAATATTCCTGACGGCACCCTAGTGGGCCACAGATGGGCCTCATGTGAGTTAACCACATGGGCCCCACTGAAAGCCCAGTTAGCACCCATAAAAATTTACTTGGGCAAACCCATGTGGGGCCACCATGGAAACCGTGGACAAACCCACTTGGTACCCATATTCTAGCCCAGTTCAGACCCAATTGGGACCCAGGTAAATATTCCTGACAGCACCCTAGTGGGCCACAGATGGGCCTCATGTAAGTTAACCATGTGGGACCCACTGAAAACCCAGTCAGCACCCATTGAAATCAACCTGGGCAAACCCATGTGGGGCCACCATGGAAACCGTGGACAAACCCACTTGTTACCCATATTCTAGCCCAGTTCAGACCCAATTGGGACCCACGTAAATATTCCTGACGGCACCCTAGTGGGCCACAGATGGGCCTCATGTGAGTTAACCACATGGGCCCCACTGAAAGCCCAGTTAGCACCCATAAAAATTTACTTGGGCAAACCCATGTGGGGCCACCATGGAAACCGTGGACAAACCCACTTGGTACCCATATTCTAGCCCAGTTCAGACCCAATTGGGACCCAGGTAAATATTCCTGACAGCACCCTAGTGGGCCACAGATGGGCCTCATGTAAGTTAACCATGTGGGACCCACTGAAAGCCCAGTCAGCACCCATTGAAATCTACTTGGGCAAACCCATGTGGGGCCACCATGGAAACCGTGGACAAACCCTTTTGGACCCATATTGCCTGCCCACTTATATCCCATATGGGGCCCACCTAGGTATGCTGGCTGGGTGGTGACCCACTTCTGGGCAACAAAACAGAGTCTCCAATGATGTTCTTCTCCATAAGGGGTCATAGTTCATAAAGATTTAGAAACATTCACATAACCATTACTTTTGAGACACATACATTTTATAATACATATTTCCTCTGTAAGATGGATGAGACATAGTTCACTAAACACTGATTAAAGGAAAAGACATCTTAGACTCAGAAAGATGTAATACATCTGCTCCCAAGAAGAATTTAAGCAAAGAATATCTGCCTTTTCCAAACAGTTCCTATAGTTTACTTTTGAAATAGTAAATCCATCTAAATCTGTATTTGATGTCCCTAATGTCCACATAATCAGGACATAATTTGAGTTTAGTCATATAACAAGCAAAATAAAGAACACTGGCAGTCAACCCATTAAGATTTGATTAAATTATTTACAAACTTAGTAATATGTGATGGTTTGAGAAAGAAAATAACATACAGAGTAAGCAATAAGGCACACTTCAGTTTATTTCCAGTCACTTTGATTCTTGCAGCTGTATCTATTTGGACCAGCTCTCCTCAACAGGCAGAAAATCAGCAGCAGCTTCTCCTCACCTCGGGATATGTGTCCTCTGTGCAGGATGGTATCGCTCAAGGACTGGACTTGAGCACCCATGATTTTGTCTCTGATAATGTCTGGTGTTTCTCTCCAGCGGTCAAAGGGTGAGAGGTGGGGTATATTCTGGACAGCAGGGCATTTGCAGTATCATTTAATCTTTGTTGAATTTTAACAAGGACACTTACCTGACATACACAAGTAGTGTCACCATTTCATAGGCAGTTGGAAAATTAACTGTCTCTGGGTGGATTTGAACCACCAACCTTTCAGTTCACAGCTGACTGCACAAACTGATTGCACCACAGAAACAGTTCCCTTGTTCCAACCATTTTGAGAAAGTGAACTTCCTTATACATATCTGGCATGATCTAGAGTCTAGGATCAAAACAGATATGCATAGGGCTAGACTCTACATGTTTCTTAGTTTTCCTGGACATACTTTGTCCAGGAAAACAAGACAAAGGTCTAGTTTGTCTAGGTCCAGAGCACATTTGTTCTGAATATAATCCTGCGAAACTATCTCCTACTGAGGAGCGAAGCCTTCAGACAAAATATAGAGGCAATAGAACTGTGCTTAGACCACTTGATAGAATTATAAAATTGTTTTTTGTTAAAACATGTATACTGTATTTATTCTTTACAAATATATACAAAATTTAGTATCAAAATGTCAGAAGAGTAATGTTTTATATATACGGACGGACAGACAGACAGACAGATGGATAGTGAGGTTGGGAGATGCTGCTGTTTCTCCAGCTACATTCCGGGCGAGAGGCAACAGGTCGCCAGTGTGTCGCAGGGCAACACAGAGACAGACATGACAAACAACCATGCATGCACACACACGCACACACACATTCATAACTACGGAGAATTTAGAGAGACCAATTTACCTAACATTTATGTTTTTGGACTGTGGGAGGATAGGAAGCCGGAGAACCCACCATGCACAGGGAGAACATGAACTTTGGATATTTTAAGTGTAAAATGTAGAAATAGATGGGGAAAAAATTCCACTTGGAACAGTGTCAAATCCCTATAACAAACTTCATTTTAATTAATTAATATTTACAATATTTACACCAAACACTAGGACTTGCAAAATTATCTGCAATTATTTGCCCTTTTCAGCAGCCCACCTCTTCTTTTCAGTCTCATAAAAAGAGGATTGACAAAACTCCCCCCATGTCATTTCACCTTTCATTCCCTGGGACTGGTATAAGGACAGGATTTTTGCAGGGCAGAAAATGTACTTCCCATTCACACCAGGAAACCCTGTGTGGACATGAGGACTGCTTGGGCCTTGTTTCAGAGGTCTGTGGCAGAACCTGCACAGACGCCCTGCAGGATGCTCCTCCTTGGAGCATCCTGTTCCTCCATCACCCGTCTTACTTCTGCTCCCGGGTGAAAAATGGTGTGTCCGCAAAGTCAGAAAATGACGTTCTTGGGTCAGGCCATGTAGGTGTGGTAAACCTTTTGTGAGCAGTAAAAGTACTTTACCTCTGCAGACTGATAGAAGAAGTGGACAGAGAAGCCATCACCCTGAAAACGGGACTTTAGCTGGCCACATGCTAGACAGTTCCTTGTCCTCTGATTATCTTTCTGCTGCTGCTGTTGTACAATCTCCTGCTTAAAGTTCTTCCCTATTGTAATCACAGAGAAGACGTGGAAACAGCGCCCCAAAATCCCGCTGGTGGTCAAACAGTGCATTACATCCGTAGTGTTCAGAGAATGAATAGGAAAAGTGTACTTGACTATTTTCGCCGCGTGGAATATTTCGGCCCAAAGTGCTGACTGACAGGAGACTCGCACCGACACAAAAATGAACCAAACTTTAGCGCCTCCTACTGGGTACTATGGGTAACGAACTGCGATCAGCATATATAATGAAATGGGCATTCAGAGTATGTTTGAATTAAAATCCAATACTACATTGTGTTTATAATCATGTGGCATTATGGCTTCTAGTTATATTATAATATATATTAAAAAAAACTAAGCGTCCCTGGGTGGGCTCGAACCACCAACCTTTCGGTTAACAGCCGAACGCGCTAACCGATTGCGCCACAGAGACTGATGCGAGACACATGCATCTTTTTACATACAGTGCCGTTTGGAGTGGGTAAGAGGACAACTTGTAAACTTATAGGTTTGTGTCCGCACAAGTTTAATTAAGTTTTTTTATTTTTATAATTAAAAAAAATATATATATGCATAAATTAAAATCACTTGATTTTATTGTCAATTTAAATATTACCAACTTAAGCAAAGCAAAATATAGTATTTTGCAACAGCAATATTTGCTTGTTACACAGGAGTCAAAGTATTGCAACCAAAGTGAAAAATACTCTGATCTCAAAACATAACTGATACATTTACAATCAGGGTAATATGACATTGAATACAAGAAATTAAATAATCCTTAATAAAACAAAAGTACCCAACACAAAACTGCAATACAATGTTTGTTTTAAAAAGTACTTACCCGGTGAAAGTCATTGTTGACCCACCCGCTAGCCTGTGAAAGTTCGCCTCCAGCCGGTAAATATCCCACAATGCAACTGTAGCCTACATTAAAAATTTACAGTACATTATATAGGATGTGGTTTATCTTGAGTCTGGAAGATACTGTTGAAATAGAATTTTAAAGTAGCACAATAGTACACAAGTTAACTTTTACGTTAAGATAAACTTAGATACAAATCCAAACTAAGACAACAGGTGACCCTCTGAACTTACATAAATTTCTAATCAGAAAGCAGTCTTATACTCCCTAAGGAACATTTCAGACAGGGAGTGTATTGGCTATCAGGGCAATAAATTCTTTACTCAGGGTTGAATAGTTCAGACAAATATTAAAAACTATAGAAGTCCGTTACAACATATAATCAAACATATTGGTATATTTCTTTAAGCATTAAAAAGCATGCTTTTAATGAGTTAGTTTTAGATCCAACTTATAGTTAGTATTAAGCAATAGATTTTGTGCAAGCTTGGTTAAAAATACAAACTACTTTCTTGTGGAATCATTTGAGGCAGAAAACTAAAACAGACAGAGGTCGTAAATTTAGCTCAGGAGACGCCTGGTACGGCAAAGACCCAGTTTGACGATCCATATATCTGCCTTTGG